GATCTGATCGTTCTTTATTGCAGTCTCAAATCTATAAATTCAAATAATCAAATAAGTTAACATAGCAGATAATATAAAGTGTTGTTAAATGATTTTCTTCATACCTTTGCACTACATTTGCATGATGATTAATTTCCTCAGGTGTTCGTTGAATTCCTGTTGAGTGGATCGTTCTTTTAATACCACGTGACATCATTGAACGGGACGCATTCGCTCCATTAGAATAATATTGCGATGCTGGGGTGATATTACTGTAGTAAGGAGTCTGAGGTGTTGAAGAATGGTATTGTTGATATTGATATTGTACATCATCTTGTTGTGATCGTTTTTTAGAATATCGACCAGTCTTGTTGTATCTCCGTGTCGTGGATCTCGAAGACCCATCAATATTCATTTGCGAATGTTGGTACATTGATTCATCTGGTATTGACCTTGCAACGTACGGCGATGTCAGTGTTGTCGGCTGGATATTGGAGCCCCACTGGACTTCCATATATTTTAATGGTTCTGATAAAAAATTTTCACAGAAAAAATAATCCTACTAAGGTGAATATAATAAAAATGCACAGTCATGGTTTTACAACTACCCCTGGATCGCCGTAAAAAAAGTCCTGTCACGTGATATACTGATTATAATCGACTAATCAAACTTGCATTTAACAAATCACTATTGTTCCAGAACACAGAATTGGTTTTAAATCATGTTGATAGTGATATTAACGAGAAATCATATTAAAGTTGATATATATGAGGGAATTTTGATATAAAAATTTGGTTTGTGGCTTAGGTTGATATTAACGAGGTTGATATTGACGGGGTAACCTGTACTAAGGGAGAGTCGGGCAGGTGGGTATTGTGATGTACTCATGTTTTTTGACAATTTCTCACAATACATTGATCAGAATAGAGTAATTTTAGTATAATTCGATTCCTCTTATTGAGACGAATCGAATGATATTAAATTCATTTTATTTGGTGTTAGAATTCGAGTAATGATTAAAAAAACATAAATTTACTAATATTTTTGGCAATTATTAATCAATTTTACGCACATACATACTATGCAAAATAAAGTAATAAATGTTTAATTTCTTGTCAAACATCTGGTATCAAAACAAAAAATTTTGCTATACACATTAAATTTCTCAAAAAACAACTTAGCAAATTTACATCTTTTGAAACCTTTAATTGTAAATTGATATTTGTTTTTTGATCAAAAACAACATCTGTGATTTTACTAAATTTTTTATTCATTAAAAGAATATAATTCATCTTTACTAGATCTTTAAAATAATAAATAACTTTTTTAAAAAAATTAATAAAATCTTTAATTTAAAGAATAATTTATTTAACACCTGGGAGAGTTATTTACCCCTTAAGTACAAAAGAGAACCCAGTTATATTAATATATTAGGTTAGAATTAGAGATAGAGTTAAAGCTAGCCTAAAGTAAAATTGTGAAAAAAATATTTTTGCTTATATTATATGACAGGGTTACCTTAATAAAATTTTGAGATATTGGCATTTTTTCAAATTTTGTTATAGGAGGTAAGGCTCACCCCAGGTGAGAAATAAATTTATCCTTAATTTAATTATATTGACTAATGTATAGTATTTTTTAATTGTTTATAAAAAAGTAGAAGTACATAATATATCTATTCTTTAAATTCAACTATATTATAATATTTTTTATTTTATTTATTTATTTTTTTTTCAAGTATTGACAGCCTTGTTAATATTTTTTATTAGATCAAAACAAATATACAAATATATTCTAAACTATCTAAACTATAAATCTGATATTATTTGGTTTCATTTATGAATACTCAAGTGTAGTCTGCTACACTAGTTAAGGTTATTGCCTATATTAGAGAGTTGTATCAAGCTAGCTAGTAAAACTATAATAAGATAATTTTAAATCGAAAGAATTTTTCACTATATTTAGTTGATAATTTTTTCTTTCTAAACTATTCTTCTTTTTAAAACAATATTCTAAGTCTAATTTTTTGATAATAAACAATTCTACTTTCTCTTTTAATCAAGGATAATTGTAAAGATTCTTTTATTTATATTTGTATTTTTTTTTTTCTTTTTCTAGTTTAACCTGTTTTTTCTGATCAAGGATCCAGCTCTCAAGAGTCTTCTCATATTTTTTTCTTTAGTTTTTTTTCCTGTTTTGCAGTTTTATAATCTCTTTCTTCTTTTTGAAAGCTTGTTCTATAGGTTTCTTCTGAGAATATTTTTTTATAAACTCCTTTTTTCTCTAAATATCTTCAGTCTTCTCTTAGTTCTTTTACTTCTGAGTCATGGTCACTCTGTTTAGATTTTTTTTTTTTGTGATCTGGATATAAAAGTCTTTTTTTTCTTTTCTTTATCTTCTTTCTTTTCTTTTTCTTTCTAGAACTTGGTTTTCTTTTCAAGAACTTTTCTAAAAATTTTTTGATTTCTGAAATATTTTACAAAAATTTTTTTACTATCTCTAATAATATATCTTTTTTTTTTTTCTAATTCTTGGCTCCCTTTAATCTAAACATTGATATATCTTAAAACAAATTCATATTGAAATTATATTGGGATTTCAACCTATATATCTATTTTGCAAGCAGATTTTTCTTCTTCTTTTTCTATATTTTACTATTCAAATATAAGTCTTTGATACTTGCTTGGTATATTATTTCTATTAGCTATTCTGCTAGAATGATTAATATGATTTTTGGTTTTGTTTCTTTCTAAATCTTGTTTAGTATTTTCATTTCTGTAAGATCTCAGATGTCTTGTTTCTTGTTTTTCTTTTTTTTTCTTCTTTGGTTCTTTTTTTTTTCTTTTTCTGGCTTGCTGCAATAAATTCAACAGATACTTTAAATTGTATTACTAGAGTTCATAATACTATTTTGTTATACAAGTTACCCTCATTAATATCAACCTATTTGAATTGGTTTTAAATCATGTTAATAGTGATATTAACGAGAAATTATATTAAAGTTGATATATATGAGGGAATTTTGATATATAAAAATTTATAAAATTTTGTTTTGTGGCTTAGGTTGATA